TTCAGTATGTTATCAAGTAGATTTTTTTTTTCCCCTGCTATGATGAGCCTAAATTCTCTGCTGTTCAAAAAGCCTGGCTTTCCAACACATATGTTGCTGGAGGCAAGCAGTCTAACACTTCACATCAAACAATGAACTCAGCATACTGAAAAATACATACAAAGATTTTCTTTACTGCAATATAAATACAGCCACATGCTTACTACACTCTACAGCATTGCTCAAATTAGATTTTTTTGTTATATTAAGAATGGTTTTATCTCACCAATAAACTATGGACAAGGTTCTAATTCTTTCCCACAGAGTTCTTCATTTCAACAACCAGAATGCCATCATGGCAGAAAAGTGCAGACAAGTCTTTGTTCTCCACTCCATCAGGTAATTTGTATTGTCTGGTAAAGCTTCTGGATATGAAACCATGTTCATCCATCCTGGGTCCATGCTGAGCTTTGATCAGGAGCCAGCCTTCGAAAGTCTGAATAATGATATCTTCGGGGCGGAACTGCACAACGTCCAGTAAGACCTGGAAGCCTGTGTTTTCCTTCTCCTGGCCACTCTTCCCAGCCTCGGCTGTACTTTCTGCGGTACGCCTTCTGTTGCTCTGTGCAGTTGTAGAAGGGCCTGGCAAAGCATATAAAGAGTGGTCCAGTTTGTGTGCTTCCAGCTCTTGGAGAGCAAACTGCTCTTGGTAGCGTACAGGAGTTTCCACCCAGTGTCTTATAACAGCTTCTGCCATTGCTGAGGCAGAATGGTAAGTTGCTGCTGCTGTTGCTCTGGGGAAGCTGCACAGTCGCAGCAGACTCTTCCCAGTCACATGCCTTACCCACAGACTAGTTTATCAGTTCATATTGCCTTTCACTTTTAGCACAGGCAGAGCTTAACATTTAATAGGGCGTGCTGTGCTCCAGTGACAGGAGACTGGTTTCATCTTTTATCCACTAACGATAGAGCTCTATTTATACTGCTGGGGTCTTGAGTGGCTTCAACACATGCACAGCTCTCATGCATAAGTAGCGAAAGCAGAATTTTATGCACCTTTGATTATTGCAATATTGTGTTGTTTGTTGTTAAGAATAATGAAAAGAAAAATAGTGTGAAAGGTTGTTTGCTTTTCATAGAAGTTTAATGATTCTATTTTTCCAAGGGATGCATAGCAATAGATACAACCTCTGTATTTCTTCTAACTGAAACAGGAAGTTATTGCAGGAAGAGATTTAATTAGCTTGACAGTAGGAACAGAGTAGGTTTCAGGTTAGGTAAACTATAAAACTTATCAAATGCACCGGACATAGTTGTAGAAGTTGTACATAGCTGAAATACAAGCATGGTTAACCATGTTATTGGCAATAGGAGAGAACTGTAGCCATCCTTGCCCAAACTGGGGGTGTCTGAAGGGCTGAGTCTGCAATCTTAGTGACCTACAAACTCAGCTGAGCCTTCTCCAGCGTGACGGAGTCAAACTCAAAAATGCAGGGAGAATTGCAGTGAAAGCTCATGTTTCACAGCTTCCAGGAGAGGGCAGAGCTACTTGCCCCAGCAGAGTAGTAAAGATAACTCCAAATCCTTAGTGCCACCACATTGTCTCAGTAACCTTCATCTTTTGGTTCTCAACAGCTTGAATCTATGATACCACCTACTGCATGTGTCTGGGGAGCAGGACTGGTGACCTGGTACACCTGATCTATGGTGTAATCTTCTTGCTAGTCTGTGATTGCAGGGGAAATAATGCCTACAAGTGTTAACAGTTTAGTTAACAAGACCTATGGGAAAGTGCAGTGAAAAGGGAAAAGCATTTCCAGATTTTAGTGTGTTTGCTAGGAAATCACTCTGGCTGGGTTTGGTAACGTAAAGCTGAATGCATTAGGGCAACTGATGATGAGAACTCTTTATTTCCCTCAGCTGCACTAATGCTAGAAAGAATCTAATGAGAGACTTTCACTCCTTTTTATTTGGCTGTTGTTCAGAGTTCTCTCTCTCTTTTGTCCTTACGTCTTCCACTGCCATGAAAATGGCACATGAGTTTATATGGGATCTTTGGTTGCTAATGGACTCACAAAGAAAGAGGCAGTTGAATTTTGATAGCTATGAGTAATGAACTTGTGTATCGAGCCAATAGCAGAGCATGATTACCAGACATATCTATAATTAAAGTTCTAAGGTTGCTATTTTATTTTAGACTCATGAAAGCCTCATCGCAAGGTAAGGAAGTTTTGAAAGGTAGATCAAAGGTTCAACATGACTTACATTAATGGCCAACCATTTAACTGAGTATTGTGGGAAAGAAGAGCTATGCTACTTTATTTAACTATTGGCTCTTCTCCTGTCAAACTGTCCTCCAGAAATCATTTAAAAATGCAATTCTGAATGTATGCTTGCTAAAATAGTGATAAAAATAACCTGGAGCATTGCCCATTGTCTGTTCAGCAGCTGTTTTCTGTTTTGCTAGTCAATGATTCACTTGGTGAGGAAACTTTAACCCTGAAGTGAAGCAGTATGCCCGGTTGGTTGTGATATTATGCTTTTAGAGATAGCTGAAAGTTATTGCCGTCCCTACTGAATTCTGTGATGATAGCCTGACTTATTTTACTTCAGTTTTGCACTTCATTAATAAATGTTCCATGCAGGAATACCACATTCTTTTATTTTTTTAATTTTGTTTTAATTATTCCAATCTTCTCTGGAAAAAGATAAATTTGCCCAAACTTACACTTTAAATGAAAACAGAAATCACCACCTCAGTGCAGGTCACTGTGGGACAGCTATGTCTATTTCCAGAAACAGTTGTGTTAGTCTTTCAAATGTCTATGTTAAGCATACTTGGAACTGTCCGTCTGGTCTAATTAGCACAAAAGATGCTCTGAATGCCCTTTAAATTCATGTCATGTGCAAAGCTCTACAGGAGTTTATAGGATCCTTTTCTACTCTGTAGAAAAAAGAGTTAGGAAGATTTTAGTAATGAAGCTGTTTAGCCTCTTCCTGCTCTCCCATCCCACTCTCTCCTCCAGTCCCAGTCCCCTTTTCTCTCTTTTTGCCACCTATGGGCTCAGGAATTACCACCATCTTCCTTACCTCTTTGCTGCTAACACGGAACATACGTAAACTGAAAAAAGAAAATATCCTTGAAATGCAAACATCCCAGCAATTTAGAATATTTTTTCAGCCTTTCAAGTTAAATATGGACACGGTGCTGCAATACTAAGGACCTTCTGATGCTAATGCACCTATACCCTTTAAACAACTATAGGAGTCAAGAAATGCATTTTAATAACGATTGATTATTAAGGTCATTTTAAACCTTCACAGCAAATCCAGCAGGAGCACGATCAATGTCCTTAATCGCCAGCTCGGCGCCTAGGGTTTTCTTTCTCAGTTCTCCTGCGCATGTGAAGGCCTTGCCCTGTGCTGCTCCGTGCATGGGGAGCGTTACTGCGCTGTTCTTCGCAAGACTTTGAGAAAGCGAGGCAGTTTTAGTTACCGCGGCCGCGCCAGTCCATGTGCTCTTTGGCTGATGGCACGTACTTGCGGTCTCAAGACCTCCTTCGGATTTTTAAAGGAAAGGAATGGAATCCATGGGCAACTTGCAACAGTTGCTTGGGAGAAACACGGTGCAGTATAAATGGGTCACACTGACATCTTGTGGTGAGACCGGAAAATAGCTGCAAAAGAAGATCCCAAGCTGCATGCTAACACCAGGTAGCATTACTAGCCTGTGAAATACTTGTGTGGAAAGACATCAAAGGAAGAAAGCGGCAAGATTTTAAATTACGACAGTTTATTTTCAAGATAATGCAAGTTTTTGTCTCAGTATTTTGGACGGAAAGGAAATAAATATTTTATTTATGTTGAACTCATGGAAAATCTAAAAAGCAGGTACCCTTGTAAAAATGTATAGTAAATTGCGAAAATGTAAGGTGCACAAACTCATGAGATTAACTTTTTTTTAAATGCATATGCATATATGTTAACAAAACACAAGTGCATCCTGCTCTACACAACTTTAAAATAAGAGATTGCCTTGTTGCAATTCTCTTAACGTTGGATTCCCCAAAGAGAAGTATTTCAGCTATGATTGAAATTTCAGGAGAAAAAAAGTGAAGAGGTTGGCAGGATGAAGAGAACAAGAACTCTTCTAGCAAAATCTAGCAGGCCAATTTCAAATAAGAGCCATGTAATTATCCAAATGAATTTAGGCAGAGCACTTCAGTTACTTTTATCAAAGCACCCAAGGATGCCACTCATGATCTACTTCACATGTCATTCGAAGAGATACTGTCACTTCATACTTGGCAATACATTAGAAAGATAAGGAAGAGTAGGACATGGGGGGCTTTACCAGTGCTAGCTCCTAGTAGGGAGTTTAAGCTTTGTGGTGATACTGTAGAGGTGGACAGTAAAGTAAAATGTATGTGAGAATGGAACCTGGGGTGACACTTATGGAAACTGGATGGGAAAGAGCTATTTTCCACATGGTATTTAATATATTTTTGTAAAGTGAGAAAACTACTGTCTCCTACTTTGAGTCCATGGCTCCTCTGAGTTGTCCTTTTAGCTGGACTGTTAGATCTGGATGTATGTAAGCTCTGAAGGAATTAAAATGTAAGCACAACTGCTGCAAGTGTCTGATCAGCAGTTACCATGTGTTCTGTTGTTGAGAAATATTGAGCTTTTTTATTAAACCATGACATATCTCATTCCAATCACATGGTATTTATATTGGTCAGTGAATCACAACATAACTCTGTTTGCAGCAAGACTTCATGCTGTGTTATAAAATTTCTTGCAAGTTGTAAAGGCTGTGTTGTTACACAGCCAGCTGAGCCGAAGGAAGGCTTCAGTCCATGGGTCATGTCCTTCAAAACCTGGAAAAGGCTGGATCTGCCTAACCTCTTGGAAAATCTCTCCAGGGCACTGATGCTCACCTGTAACTGTAAACTTGATCTCCTAATTTTAGGGGCCTCTTAAGAAATGGAAAACTAATCTCAGCTTTTGCACTAAGAATCAAGTGTTTGCTCATTTGTTAGGAAGCTATGTAAGAAGTAAGCATGGAAAGGGGTATCATTTTGACAACCTACATCCACTACTACAAGGAGGTTTTTTTGACATATTGAGATGATAGAATGAGGGTGAGGGTAGATAGGAGGGAACATGAAGGATGAGGATGAGGGTAGATAGGACCACAGCAGCTGCTGTAGGAGCATCATTTTTACAAAGCAGTGAAGGAATAAAAAAGTAACTTATAGTAATGATTTGAAAATGTCAAGTTATTATAAAAGTAAGTAAGTTTAAACTGATGCCATGGGACTCTCCACAAGGGTTTGCTTTGTTATTCACATGGCTTTTTTACCAAATATTTTAATATCAGTTATAGGCAAGTGCATCTCTGCCTCACAAATACTTGATGAACTGCTGTAGAAAGCAATCTATAGTATTTTATTGAAAATGATAATAATCTGTTTTCTTCTTGTACACAGAACAGTAGAGAGGAAATGAACAATTAAAAGAGAATAATGTGCCTGAGGGCTTGGAAGCTCTGTTTTGCCACTGAAAGGCAGGATCTAATGCACTCTTGCTGTAGAAACAGTCTTATTTTTCACCAGTTAAAAATTAACTAGTGTTCCAAGAAGAATGCCAGTTTTCAGATCTCCTGCTTCTCTGCCTCACTGAAGTCTTGAGACTTGATAATAGTAATTAACACAAGGCAGTTGAGTACAGTAAGTCTGGTGTATTTATTTTGGA